TATCGACGCCTACATCTCGGAAATGAGTGCACTTTCGGGCGATTCCTATACTAAACGTGTAGTGAATTCACGCGAAACACTGGTAATGGAGGCAAAAGTGTTTGCTTTGGTCTCGTTGTGTAAAATTGTTTTTTGGTCCCTAAAGATAGGAATTAATGAAAACCCGGAGTATTTGGTGAATAGTTTTTAAGCTCTTTTACCTTTGATTTTATTTACGTTTAACTCATTTATTTGTTTTATTTCATAGAAAAAATCAGAAGCCAAGTATAAAGTGTACAAAAATCTTAAGAATCGTATACTTCATGATTATCCTGATATAATTAAAAATAAATAAATTTCTAAACATGTTAATTGTTCATGTAAAGTTTTGCAAATAAACATTATTATAAACATTAACATTTCTAAACAATAATGACTTTTTCATAAATATTTCAGAATTAATTATATGAATCAATAAATAAAATATTTAAAAATGATATGTTTGATATAATGAACACTTAACGTATGTAAACTTGTATATGAATCCCAGAGACTCGAAGTGACCTTTCTCTCAATTCAAATACAGATTGTATTATAAAGTGTGTAAACTTAAGTCACATGGCTAATACATTGTGAACTTGGTAAATGCTATGTGACTTAAGTTTAAACACTTTATAATACAATCTGTATAATCATTATTCAATATAAGCTTGTGTGTGGAACCGGGATAGTTTATTAATTAGACAATTAAATTATAAAATAAATGTTATTTTAGAAAATTCTAGTCAACAATGAATCCGAAATTTCTATTATAATTTGTCTCCGCTGATATGTATCATTAACAATAATTTTTAATTAACTAATTTAAGTAAATATATTTTTTTATTTTCTTAATAACCACTATCCCGGTTCCACACACAAGCTTAAAGATTCATAAGTTCAGCAAGATTATATAAATAATAGATTATATAGATTATAGATTATTATAGTAACTATAATGCGTGCATGTGTGCACAATAATTTGTATTTAATTTATTATGCTTTTACTTTGCAGTACATGTAATATTAGTTCATTATAATTATAAATCTAATAAATCTGTACTTTCATAATAAAACACATTAGCTTGATTAATAATAAGGTGATGTGGTTTACTGAAAATTGGTTTACATGTACCGCAAGTAATGTTTATTACCGTATATAATATATATATAATATATACTATCATACAAATTAATCACTAGTTTTAAAAGATATTTAAAGTACTCGTCATACTTTATTATCAATTATATATAGTATTGTCATAATATTTATTATAAAATTCCAAAGGTATATAATAAGAGGAATATATTTTCTTTTATAAATTAATATTAATTAATTATTTACTGTTGATGAAACATACCACTAGTTTATAATTTTAGTTAAAACATTAAAAAACATGAAAAGTTTATTTTAAAATTCAATTCAATGGATAGCAATGTATCGGTTGAGGATCGACTAAAAGTGTATGAATTATGTAAAACACATTTAGGCGGCCATTGGAGTGATGTTAGTGCCGATCAACTGGTCATCAAACCCACGACGTAAGTCTCATATAAACTATAAACTATACTGGTTAATTTAATAATTCCCAAAATTAATTTAGGGGTGGTTTTGTGAATAAACTGTTTTGTTGTTATTTAATCACAAATGTGGAAACAAAACCTAAAAAACTATTAATCAGATATATGAGCCATGATTTTGTAGAAATATGGGGCATAACTCAGCAAACAGTTATCAATATAGTAATGACCGAGATTAATATATCGCCCAAAATATATACAATGTTTGAAAATGGGTTCATCAGTGAGTATATTGATGTAAGCATGGTATTTATTTATACCATACAGAATATTCTGTTATAATAATTATATATTTCATATTAAGTGCCGTTATTTCAATGCCGACGACGACCTCAACCCTATTGCCGTCAAACTGTTGGCCCAAAAAGTGGCAAAAATGCACTCAAAATACATTCCGATTGCCAGAAACGGCACACAAAAGACATTGAAAATAGTTTTCGAGGACTGGTTTGATAGCCACCGGATTGAGTCCTACAGACAGGGAATCATACGTAAAGAGATAGAGAAACAAAAATGTGAAACACTTATGGAAATGGATTTCGTGGCTGAGATGGCGTGGGTTAGGAAAGCCGTCGTCCACCTCAAGAGTCCGGAAGTGTTTTCCCACAACGACCTCAACCGCCGCAATATAATCGTCCGCATTGGAGATAATGACCACAATTTGGATGTCTTTATCATTGACTTTGATTGGAGTGGATATATGTATAGGGGTTTAGATATCGGCGACTATTTCATCAATTGGTGTCAAACGGGAACGGATTTTGGTGCCAATAATTTCCCGACTGATCCACAAATGTATGCCTTTATCGACGCCTATATCGCGG